GTTTACAAGTTTTAAGTCTTGAGTCTCGCTTTGGTTACTCGGGGTTAGGTTCTAGGTTTGGGTTAGAGTTTTTGTTTTTTTGGGAGTGGGTTTTGGGTTTAGATCCGCATTTTAGGCTTTGGTACATCAGAGCTGGGTTTGGATCATGATTTTACTTTCTCCATTAGTTAAAGTAGGTTGCTGGCTAGGAGGATATTGAGTGACAGTGCCTGCGGCTGAGTTTTATGGAAACATTGTTGGGAGGGGTGGAAGTACGGGGCAGGATAAGGGGCATGGACTTGGGGTGAAAACTTTTGGATCCATCACACTCTTGAATACATGGAATTTAAATTATCTGAAGAATAATTTTCCAAACTGTTGCAGGTTCAGCCCTCTACCTGTAGGTGAAAAATGACCCTTCTTTCAGTAATAGAAACAAACAACAAAGAGAAGAACATGCCAAAGAACTCATAAGATTATGCCTAGGAGGAATCTTGGAGATGGTGTCTCATCCCATCTCCCAAAATCGAATATAAATAGCCCAACGTACATGCTGAAATAATTGGCAGGGGATTATTAAGAAAAGGATCCATAAATGCAAGACGAGGAATCAGAGAAGATGTTTCAATCATACCGGGAAATCTGCACATTTGATACGCAACGCCTAGAATCTGGAAATCTGAGGTTGATAGTATTTAGAACCACAACATTTTGATAGTATTTAGAGCCACAACAAAAAACAAGACAGTAAAACGCAATTGCCTTAACTCAAAACACGACCTAGAGTCTGACCTAAAAATTAAAATCCAACGGATTGTACCCGCAAACCTAATGCAAATTTGATTGTCAAACACTAAAGTTAAAGGTCAACCTAGAACCTAACCCAAAACCAAACCCAAAATCAGGTCCAATCCCCAAAGTAAGAAACAAAATCCCTACCGAGAACCTAACCCTACAACCAATTGCAAGGGTGCATTAAGCTATTCCCATGTTTAAAAATTGTGAATAAGTACAAAAGCAATGAATATGACATTAACAGGCTTTAAGAATGAAGACCAACCATTGTCTGTGGCATTTGACATGGTAAATATAGCCGGGTTAGTGGAATTTGAATGTCACATGGCCTTAAGCACCTATTTGTAATAGTGTGGTTTTGATTAGAGTGCAGCAGTTCATATTAAGCCTTTTTTTTTGGGAGATATCCGACAAAAAGAGGAAAAACCAATACCGGTACAAGGTGAAATTTCCATTTTGTTGATCGGTGGAGGCGTTGAAATTTCCATTTTGTTGAAAGCACCGCCAAGCTCCAGCCATTAAACAAGACTCGGCATGAACCCTGTCACCAAATAGGACATGAAAGAGGTTAATAAATAGGAAAATCTCTTACCAAGGTAAATATTGTCAAATTGACTCTCCATCCAAGTATATATGTACAGTAATATTTTTTGTTATTGTGTTGTGTTTAAATTTTAACGTGGTGGAACTCATCTACTAAAAAATAAATTTTCTACTACGTTTCTTGACCTTTTGGATAAACAAACATTACCATTGAAGGGAGTAACGGTCACCCTTTGGCCCAAAATTATTGGGTGTCGCCCACTCTCTAGAAGGGATGTTATATCCCGGCCTTGATTCATTGTGAAATCTTCCCAAAGAGTCAACACAACTGGTTTCATTCTTTTTAAGATGAAAGTAAAAATGTTTGATATACACAATGTTGAGTAATTAGAATAACTATGTCATACTTACTCTTCATTCACAAGCATGAAATCATGTGCGGTTTTGGCATGTCCAGGAACGGAGACATACTCTCTGGGCATTCTCTGAATCACAATGGCCATGAAATCTAAATGTAGCAAACATAAAAAAAAGTTTAGATGTCACATCATTGTGCTTTTCCGTATTATGTTAATGAAGACTAATATTATTCACATACTGATTGGGGTTTTAGAACCGCATAAGTCATAGAAGTCAAAGAATTGTGTGAGGATAGTGTCTGTCTCATTTGTTGCCTGAATTTGTTCTGATTTTGGGGCTGCCTCAATCCAAGTCTTTTTACTCAACATCTAAATGTAATTATAGTTTGCGGATGGGGGATCACCACTATACTTGGTTAGGCATGGCAGCAGCATTGCTTATGTAGTACGTGTTTTTGAGGCCGAGTATCTTATCAATTTGTTCAATGTCACCACTATTTGCAAGAGCAAGAACCTTGGTACCCTGTACAGAAATGGTTGAATGGAACATAATTAGTGCATGTAATATGTACGCTCTAAGATTGATTATTTTATAAGCTTTATAAGCTTACCTCCTCATCCTGCAATATAAAAGGTCTGTACTTGTTAGGGCTCGTCCTTGAGTCTTTGATGTTCCGTTTCTCCACAACTCTAACCTTACATGTCCTATCCTTTTTGTTGTCATTTATTCCACTGATCATTCCACCTTACATGTCCATTCCTTTTTGTTGTCATTTGACTTTAGGATTAAGAGTTTGGGTCTATCTTTGCGATGGGGTTTTGTATCTGGGTTGTCGGGTCACTAAAATTAATAATTTAGGGCTGGGTTTTGGTGCTGGTTTTTGGGGCTCGTTGGTTGGGTTTTGAGTTTTGGGTTTAGACTTTGGGTTTGTTTTCGTGTCGGGTCACAAAAATTAAAACTAAAAGATCGTTGAAGGAAGACACATATTGTGAACCTAGGTATTACACCACAACCTAATATGATAAAATAAATTGGAAATTGAGAAAGTTAAACATAGTTCAGAACAAAAAATGATTTATGATTTTAGATTTTTAACCCATAAATGGAGTTCAAAGACTGTGTGTTCATACCCTTATGTAGAATCTGGGTTAGGTTTTGGCGTTTGTGTTTGGGACTGGTTTTTGGGCCTGGGTTTTGGGTAGACTCTAGGTTGGGTTATAGAGTTTGGGATTGTTTTTGAGTCTGGGACTTTGGGTTTACTATCCGGGTTTTGGGTCTGGTGCTTTGGGCTGGTTTTTGGAAGAATGATGTTCCAAGTTCTTGCGGATTTAGGCGTATCTGTAATTAAAAAATGTTTTTTCTTTACTTCTAC